TGGCACAGCTCACAGCAACCTCCAACTCCTGGGCTCAAGCGAGTCTCCTGCCTCTGCCTCCCAAGTTGCTGGGACCACAGGTGCCCACCACAATGCCTGGCTATTTTTTTTTCAGTTGCAGCCATCATTGTTGTTTGGCGGCCGGGCTGGATTTGAACCCGCCACCTTTGGTGTATGTGGCTGGCGCCTTAGCCACTTGAGCCACAGGCGCCGAGCCCAGAGAGGAATTCTTAAATCATACCAACTTTGGAGGAGATCTCTCTTTGAATTAAGCTCAATTTGGAGTAAGTGGAAAGCCAGGGAAACTGACCAACTTCCCTTTGTTTTCCCTATTGCCGGATGACTGTCTCTGATGCAGAAATTTGAGTGAGGAGGTACTCAAAGGGAAGACAGAAAATATGGGCAATAAGGAAAGATGGGAATTTTTTTTTTCTTACAGAAAAAAGACCCATGAGGTCTGGTCTATTTAGACCTGGGTTTTCCCATTAAAGGTGTTTGAAAATGTCTTTTTATTGCTCAGGCTTTGGGTCACAGACCTTTGTCAGGAGCTACGTGGCTGGGTCAAAAGCCATGCTGAAGAAGGGTGCCATCCTCTTCAGCTCTGGACTTTGAGGAAGAGATATTCATCTAGGCTACTGAGATAATTGTCCCAAGTAAGGTGTATAGTTGCACAAATTGGTCTATGTTACAGGGAACTAATGCCTCAGGCAGAAACACTCCCAGACTTGTTTGTATACGTCATGAAACTGACTTACATGATAAAATTCCAGGAGAGGCACCTACTTTACCAGGTGCCTCGGCCCAGGAATTTCGGGTGAATAGGCCCATAGACATAGGAAATTCCAGGATTTGCAGGACAAGTGTTAGCAGCAATTGTGGGTAGTAGGAGTATCTAACTTGCTGTCTATAGGCTGCATGCTGATTTTGTGAGGACCTTTTTTGCTTATCTGTGGTGTTGGATATCACAAAAAGTATACATGGACCTATTTTTTTTTCTAATCAGCTTTTGTAAGTGTTTACATGTGTGGCCATGTGTGGCCCAAGACAACTCTTATTCTTCCAATGTGTGGCAGAGAAAAAAAATATTGGACACCCTCCTTTAAGCCATCTGCTTTGGTGGTACTGATAACACCCATTGATTACCTTTAAAAAATATTTATTTTTCGGCTCGGCACCTATGGCTCAAGCGGCTAAGGCGCCAGCCACATACACCTAAGGTGGCGGGTTCGAATCCCCAGCCCGGGCCCGCCAAACAACAATGATGGCTGC